TTCATCTATGACTCTTTCTGTGAAAATATTTCAAAAGTTTAACAGACAACTTACCGTTTGGTACCTGGTCCTCTTGCCCTGCGGACTTCCCGACTGTTTTTCGAGGCACAGTTCTGCCGGGAAGACGGACTTGAGGCTTCTCCCGTACAGCCTCTCCGGGGCGGCGCACCACGTTCCCTGGAACCCCCGTAACGGGGACAGGTCGATCTGCTTGGAGTCCATCCAGCGGCGGAGGTCTCTGGCCCTACGGAAATTACATCATACGTGCATTTAGAAGTGAGAAATTGTGTCATACATATCGTGCAGCAGCAGAATATAGGGACTGCCATACAGAAACCATCATGGTTTTTGATAAGGGACCATGCATCCATGAATGTTTTTAATGCATCTTGTCTGGCCTTGTCAGGTCATTAGGCCAATATACCCAAAGAAAATCTGACAAATAGAAAGCCTAAAATGCCTAAAAGAAATGTCCAAAAACTTATACATATGTCTGCCCATTGCCATACCCATTACATGTACTACCCCGATGGAACATGTCAATGAAACCTATTTCTCAAATGACTCTTGTCCCTGTGTGGATTTGACACAAACACACAAACCCTCCAATAGCACAACCAAAAACAATACTTCCGTCCCGGAATTAACGATGGTTCCACTGACCTGCAGTCACAGATTAGCGGGCTGTAGTCCAGACTGAGGAGTCAATTCCCCAGGTCCAGTACGGATTCGACACAAACACACAAACCCTCCAATAGCACAACCAAAAACAATACTTCTGTCCCAGAATTAACAATGGTTCCACCGACCTGCAGTCACAGATTAACGGGCTGTAGTCCAGACATAGGAGACAATTCCTCAGGTCCAGTGCGGATTCGACACAAACACACAAACCCTCCAATAGCACAACCAAAAACAATACTTCCGTCTCGGAATTAACGATGGTTCCACTGACCTGCAGTCACAGATTAGCGGGCTGTAGTCCAGACTGAGGAGTCAATTCCCCAGGTCCAGTACGGATTCGACACAAACACACAAACCCTCCAATAGCACAACCAAAAACAATACTTCTGTCCCGGAATTAACAATGGTTCCACCGACCTGCAGTCACAGATTAGCGGGCTGTAGTCCAGACTGAGGAGACAATTCCTCAGGTCCAGTGCGGATTCGACACAAACACTCCTATAGCACAACCAAAAACAATACTTCCGTCCCGGAATTAACAATGGTTCCACCGACCTGCAGTCACAGATGAGTGGGTTGTAGTCCAGACTGAGGAGTTCCACAGGGTGGTACAGGATGTCCTTCTCCCTGCCATAACTCGTGTTGAGATAGCCCAGCTCGTTATGGTCCAGGTACACCTCCGTCAGCTGGGGCATCACGGACAGGTCAGGCACCTGGCGGATCCTACGCAAAGTGCAGTAAGGATGGCCCATACCGTAGGGTGTTATAAATGATTAAAAGGAATGAAAGGATGAGAAAAAAAGAACAGCATGTTGAATTGATTATAAGATGAACAGGACTAGGAAGACTAGGATAATGCTATACATCTGTCAAAATACAAAAGTACAAAATATAAAACTTTTCCTGACATGTACTCATACATGATACCACACATCGTGTTCAGCACCAAGGACAGGACAATACGTTTGACTTTACAATGGCCAAGTCAAGCTGAAAAATCCAGCTCTCCTGAGGTCACCTGAGTTTGTGCCAAATGGCAAAGAGAGAGTTGTCCCATCCAAAACTTGTTGCTTATTCCTTGACAAAGACTGGAGTTGTGCAGTCGAAAATTTGGGTTTACAAGCCCAATTCTTTGTGTTGGAAATTACAGTTGAAACTTACGGCATATTCAGGGGGCCAAAGAATGCATACAAATTTTATGGAATTCACATACGAATTTTACGGAATTCATACGAATTTTACGAAATACATACGATCCATTACAAGGAAACATACGTGAGACGATCCTTACTAATTTGTTGACCTACTAAATTAGTAAGAATCGTATGTTTCCTTGTAATGAATCGTATGTATTTTGTAAAATTCGTATGAATTCCGTAAAATTCGTATGTGAATTCAGTAAAATTCGTATGAATTTCGTAAAATTCGTATGAATTCCGTAAAATTCGTATGAATTCCGTAAAATTTGTATATGAATTCAGTAAAATTTGTATGAATTCCGAAAAATTCGTATGAATTCTGTAAGATTCATATTATTTCTTTGCCATTTCTTTGCTGCGTACCTGTTGAAGCTGTAGTCCAGGACCTCCAGGTTCCCAGCCATGGCCAGTAGTGCGTCGATGTGCACGCTGGGAAGACGGTTGTGGCGCATGTCCAGCTTCTGCAGCTCCGCCAGACCCACGAACGCGGAGGGTGAGACTCGCGAGATCTCGTTGTTGGCGAGATTTAGTTCCCGCAGGCGCTGATTGCCGATGAAGGCGCCGTCCGAGACGTCAGAGATGGTGTTTTTGCTGAAGGATACAGGAACAAATAAACAACGTAAATTAAAATACAGAGGCTTTTTGACGTATTCTAGACCTGCTATTCTAGAGTAGAGAATCCTCCTCGCTTTTCTCATTATGACGTGAAGTTAGACGCAGATATCTCGTTCAGCACCAAGGACGGGCCAATACATGGGACGTAACAGCTAAAATTCATCTCCCCTGACAGGGAGATCTCGGTAATGATACTTGCTGTGGTCTTATGACGTGAAGTTAGACATAGATACCTCGTTCAGCACCAAGGACAGAGTAATACATTGGGCATTAAGTGAATGGTTGTTCATACATGTAAAATACTATGTAATTCTTACAGAAACTGGATGATATACCGTGGTACATGTATTAACGATTAAACTTCCTTCGGCTTAAATTGAAATGAGACTCACAGGAAACGGTTGAATTTGCCAACTCACCTGAGATCGAGGTAGAGTAGCTCGGGAAGCCTCTCCAACTGCAGTACCGGAATGTCCCGCAGACAGGCGTTACTGAGCCCTAACCGTACCAACCTGACCAGGGGCTCAAACGTGACGTCGTCTATGGACTTGAAGCAGTTGTGGTCCATGACTAGATTCTCTAGTGAGCTCATACCTAGGGGAATCGATAACATGATAACAAAACACTTTTGTATCAATAGTTTGTGTTAGTGGCGTAGCAGAAAATTTCATAACAGATTTTTTTGTGTGTGGATAATGGCCCAAACACTAAACTTGTCATTCATTTATTTACTTTAAGAGCTTCTGATTTTTGCTATAACGAGGCTGTTGCAAAGGGATGTGTAATGTTCTATTACTGACCCTCTGTTGATTGGAATACTTCACACATAGGCTAGTGGCATTGCTGAATATCGTGTAAATTTGTCTTAAAAACACCAAATTTGGCACTTTAGTACTTAGCACTTTAGAAGCAAATGCATAATGTTCACCTTCCCATACAGTCTGCTCTGTTCATTCTTACTCAAACACATTCATATATATGGTGACAGGAGTCTAAATCCCTCCTGCTATAAAATTGCAACATGATGTAACCCTACACCAGTTACCATGGTGACAGACGTCTGGTTCTGGCCATTGACCTTTTGTGTTTGGAACGGAAGAAGAGGAAACGTAGCAAAAAGAAAAAGGATTCCTTCGGTAAACATAATAACGATGTTTTCTATAAACAAATCTGGATATGGAAACATCTCAATTTTGGGCTGATTTTTTCAGCTATGCCACTGGACTAACACAAACGACTGTGCAAAGAAACGAACCGACGAAGGTGACCGCTGTGAGGCGCTTGATGTGCCCGCTGATCTGCAGGGTGGTGAGGTTCCGCGGCAGGCGGAGCGCCTTGGACGGCACGGCAGTCAGGGAGGTGTTCGCCAGGTTCAGCGCAGTCAGACCGGGAACCCAGGCAAACGCGAAGGCCGGCACGTCTGAGATCGGGTTGTTGGCCAAGAGGAGGTACTGCGTGATGTTTAAGCGAAAATAGTAAATAAACGTGTCAAACATTTCATCTTCAATGTACAAGTGGCGGCTAGAACATAGGTTGTGCTCAACTTGAGTTGGGCGCCACTTTAAATTTGTCTCCGTCCTTTCCTTTGTATTATTATTTCTTTGAATAAAAAATAGTTAGCTTACATGTACGACACAGACGATCTAGCAACCAGATTTCTCCACCCTTCTCGGTTTTCTGTTCTTCTTTAATACACAAAACTTTTGACCTTAGTGTAGTGCTCTGATATTATCCTCCAATCTTTTCCATTGCCTACCCATCTTTTGCAGCAATATCAATATTCGAGGCATTTTCGTTGATATCATTCTACATATAGCTCATAAAACTAATCAGCTGTAAAAATCACTATGGTTGTATCTCTTATTCTGTTTCCTTCCTTTCTTTTTTTTTGTATTTTTGAAATATATTGTTTTTTATATTTTACTCCACACCATGGTATGGATTAAATATATTGTTTTTCTTGTTCCCAGTATGGATGAAATATATTGTTTTCTTTTCCTTCACCTCCTGCCACTCGGTCAAATGGATTTAACTCTGTCATTCCTAAGCCAAAATGAGCTGAAATTTGGTATGAAACTACCTGACCCACCCACCTTCAGATCGGGCACGGCTCTCAGTGCGTCAACGGGAACCTCTGTCAGCTGGTTGTCCTGTAAGGACAATGCCTCCAACTCCGGCACGCCTAGTAACTGCTCCTCCCGCACCACAGCGATCTTATTCCCGTCCAGGTACAGGTTCCTCGTCCGGGTGGGCAGACGGGTCGGTACGGAGGCCAGCTCCCACGGGCCCTGGCGGCCGCACGTCACGGAGACGTACTGCGCGGCTGAGTCCGAGGGGCCGCAGAAGGAGAAGGGACCCCGCAGGCAGCGGCACTGGGCAGGACACGGCTCCTGCTCGGGGACAGGTGCGGCAGTGGCCGCGGCGTCACACGTCTCACGGTACGGTCGCCAGCCAGCCTCCGAATGGGTCACGGAGATCAGCTTGCGGTCGGCCCACTGTCAACATATCATGTATGCATTTATCATGAGCTGACTCAAATTCAGAATTCACAAGCAGCTAAATATAAAGAATGGATCTTGAAAAGATCTTGGAAGAGTGGTGGGGGAGAAGAGTTGAGGAAGGGGGAAGAGTGGGGGGGGGCGTAGAAGAGTTGAGGAGTGAGATTTACGAAATAACAATTTTTTGAGGATCGACTGTGCTAGATTTATATAATAGTGCATTTTAGGATACTCTTTTCCCTCCCCCACTACTCTACCTCACCTCAAGTCTAGCCCTCCTCAACTCGCCCCCCTCTTCATCTACCCCCCCATCCTCAAAGTTAGCCATTCCGAATCATGTTCAAATGCCTTTGCAAAAAGCGATGGGAAAGTAGAGTTCAGACGACACTGAAAATTGGCGGGAAATTTAGACAACACTACACGTTCATTGGCAATGACTTCTCGGCGCCGTACCCGTAGGAACGTGTCGAGGTTGCAGTCACAGGACAGCGGGTTGTCGGAGATGTCCAGCGCCTGGAACTTCGGCAGCCGCGTGAGGAGCCGGCTCGAGACGGACCTGATCTGGTTACCGTCCAGTCCCAGAACCTTCACGGTGGGAAAATCGTCCAGTTCCCCGGGAGCTACCCTCCGGATGCGGTTGTGTCCTAGAGAGTGAGAGGAGAAACAAAATGGTCATGGTATCACGCCACAAAAACTGGTATTTAAGTACGCTTAAACGTAGCGTAAAGGCGATGTTTCTTCCTCCTTTTCGCAACTTTACGACGCCTAAACGTGACCTTTCCGCAAGTGCGAAAAGACCACAAATTGATTGATTGATTGATCGATCAATCGATTGATTGCTCGATCGATCGATCGATCGATAGATAGATTGGTTGGTTGGTTGGTTGGTCGGTCGGTCGGTCGGTCGGTCGGTCGGTCGGTCGATCGATCGATTGATTGATTGATTGATTGATTGATTGATTGAAAACTACAACATCCCCTTCTTACCTAGCTGCACGTTTTCTAAGTTCTTCATGGGTTTGAAGGCTTTAGTGGGCACGGCGGACAGTGAGTTCCCCTGAAGGCTGAGTTTCTGCAGGCTGCAGCCGTTGATGAAGGCATCAGGTGAGACGTACGTGATCTTGTTCATGCTCAAGTCAAGACTCTTCAGGTAGATCTGGGCACCGAAGGCGAAGACGGAGATGCGCTTGAGGTTGTTTCCCGCCAGGTTCAGGGTCTGGAGCTGGTCCAGACGGACGAGGGCTTGTCTTGGCACCTATAACAGTAAGGTTAGTGTAATAACAACTGCTCAATACTGGTTAGGCCACACCAAGTAATTCTATGGATTCCGTCCTCCAGAAACGTTTCATCACCCCCATGAAACTCCTTCCTCTTCGCCCCCGCCGTTCTGCTTCGCCCCCGCCCCGTTCTGCTTCGCCCCCGCAAAAAATCTGCTTCGCCCCCGTCGTTCCTCTACGCCCCCGGCGCAATTCTGCTTTGCCCCCGTCCTTCTGCTTAGCCCCCAATGGCGGCACAGCTCACAGTCGACACGAAAATCGTCTGCAAAATAACAATAAAGGCTGTGCCGCCAAATTTAAAGTAGCCCATGCTCCGACAAACATTCTGGACCACCTTTCTGCCAAGTGGCGTTGCACAAATCCTTCCCATTCAAAAGTTTACCCCTTCCTCACGGCCCGTCAGTGGTTCTTACGTTTATAAGTACTGGCGTTTATAAGTACAGCCGTGAGTGAAATTTCCCGCCAGTACTTATAAACGTAAGAACCACTGACGGGCCGTGAGGAAGGGGTAAACTTTTGAATGGGAAGGATTTGTGCAACGCCACTTGGCAGAAAGGTGGTCCAGAATGTTTGTCGGAGCATGGGCTACTTTAAATTTGGCGGCACAGCCTTTATTGTTATTTTGCAGACGATTTTCGTGTCGACTGTGAGCTGTGCCGCCATTGGGGGCTAAGCAGAAGGACGGGGGCAAAGCAGAATTGCGCCGGGGGCGTAGAGGAACGACGGGGGCGAAGCAGATTTTTTGCGGGGGCGAAGCAGAACGGGGCGGGGGCGAAGCAGAACGGCGGGGGCGAAGAGGAAGGAGTTTCATGGGGGTGTTCATTGTCTTCATATAATGACAATGAGACGTGGTCGCCCTTCTTTGAAGAAACTCTGAAGAAGGTGATCGAGGAGGACATAGGTCTGGGCGGTGCTGAACTGTCCTCTGTCATGCGTGACAGGAACTTGTGGAGACAATACATGGTGTCACCTGGTTAGGATGAACTGAACTGAACTGAATGACAATGACAATGAACTTTATTGCATGTTCACGCCCTACACGGGCCAAATGCACTTAAGTTAAATAACTTGGTAACAAGAATAGAAGAATATAAATGGTGCATCAGTTGATTGCATTTTAAGAAAATGCACTGTAAGAATATTGGACACTGAACAAGACTATTTCCTGAAAGGGGTGAAAGTGGCTATTTACATCAGGGCCCATCACCCCTCACTCAACCGCGACGGGGGCCGACATCGTCTACAAGATATTTTTGACCCAGTGTTGATGATGTCACACTTCAAAAAAGCCACGTGACAAGCCTTACTGGGTCAGTCTACTGAGGAAAACCAGAGTGACTGATCTAGGTGAGAGAATTTCTTTGTGTTGGATCTAAGGTTTTAACTTTAATTATTGATTGCATTTTAGTTTTACCTGGTACAGACAGGCGTTAGAGAGGTCCAGATGCTTCATTCTGCGGAGCGAACAGATGGATTCTTTGTCTATTTTCTCAATACAGTTGGAGCTCAGGTTCAATGATTCTGGAAAGGACAATTGAAGTTTCAGCAAACAGCTTTTAATGCCAAATAAACGACAACGTGAAGATTGATATCACATATAAAAATTGACAGAATATTATTAATATTGCAAAAAATTGGCGCATATGTAGTATTGGCCAATACTACATAGATGCATATTACTAGTACTTGTTAACGTAATGATGATGACAATAAATTTGCTATTCTGAACTTGAAAGAGATCAATGATATGAGTTAACCACAATGGCAATGATATGCACCTAAGTAAGGCACGTCGGCGAAAGAATGCTGCACGAGGTTGTGGATGTTGTTGTTTGAGAGATCCAGGTGACGTAAGTTCCGGATCTGACGTAGAGCCACGGAAGGGACTTCCGTCAGCCGGTTTCCGGACAGGCCCAGTGTCCGGAGTCCACCGAGTCCCTTGAAGCCGTTTTCAGCAACCTGCAAGGACGAAAAATATCATGGAACAAATTAAAGCGATATTATGTAAGATTTACACTATTTTAAACATTGTTATTTTGCACATTTTCTTGCGCTATAAACCTAACTGGGTTCATAATGACATTTGGGGAGTAAAAGTAATCTCCAAGCAGATCCCTCTCGGTGGCAAAAAGACAGTATCAAATTGGCCAGGCAGTATCCATTAGCCAGAGAAGGCGCCGGTCACCGACGGGTGGGATTAGCAAAACAAAACAAAACAAAAAACAAAACAAAAAACGCCCATATATAAAAAGGTAACGATCATTCCCCCACAACCTCTGCTTGGAGAGTAGAGTAAAAGATCAACGTCGTTGCGCCGCAAAAACGTGTTGAAACTGGCGAAGATACCCGAACGAAAACCGCTGTTTGTTTACATTCTTTTTAGGAGCCTCCTAAAAATGCAGCGGGCCTGGCGCAACTTATTCTCGCGCTGCGCTGAGTCGCTTGATTTTTCACGATTTCCGTTGGATGTTTGATCAACGTTGCATCAGAATTTTGCCCGTTGCGGGAGATATCTTTTCGGACGCAACATTTGGAAACTACAGACGGGATGTTAACCTTATATCCGCGAATACAACCTTATATGAGACGTTCTGCCGAAGTGCTATGCACAATACATTACGGGTTTCGCGCAGATGCAGTACGTTCTGCCGACGTGCTGTATGCACGTGTGACGTCAGCTATGGGTCAAAGGTCACTGGAAGTCGGTATCGCCCTACCTTGGTGATGTTGTTGTTGTCCAAGTGCAGCGTCTCCATGAAGGTCATGTTCCCGAAGGTGTAGTCGGGAATGTACAAGAGCCGATTCTTGCCGAGGATTACCGAGCGCAGGTTCGGGTAAGGCACGAGGGACATGGGCGGCAGCCTAGAAATATCATTCCCACCTGAAGAAGGTAGAAATGCGAGAACGTACGATTAATTGAATGAATGAATGAATGGATCTATTCAACCGGCAGACATACATTTTCTATCAGTCTGAATTTTGTTGAATTTACAAAATACAGCTCCATAGTAATTTTGCATACAAATTTATAAATGCAATCAATTATATTAAAATCAATTTATCATAAAAACTAGTTTCAGTTGAACATTCTAGAAAAACATGTACTGGTCAAGATTAATATACGCATATACATATAAAATAAGATTCATTTGTATTTTGTTTCTATGTAAATAGCCATATACAGGTTAACGTATTGCTTGATTGCATATTGTTCACTGATCTGAGGAAAAAAATTAAAGAAAAAGGCGTCCATACCTAAATCGAGGTAGTGAACTGTTTGTTCAATCCCAGCGGGCAGTTCGGTGAGCCTGGCCTCGTGACACCACACATGACGCACGACGCAGTAACATGCGTCCGGACACGCATGCGCGAGGCTCAGTATCGTCACTAACGACAACAGGAACAGCAGACTTGCACGTGACATGGCGAATGGGTTGAGGAAACCTGTGAAAAAATTCGAAAAATACATGTAATTTAAATGTATCGGAAAAAAGTGTACAAACTACCGCGTGTTTAATGCCCCAATCATTACATTTCCTCCTTATTATGTGCAAGAATGGTCCCACAAGGTGTTGACAAAATTTAATTCCCTAGGGAATGCATTCGAGGAATTTTTAATATTTTCAACTCAATCGCAGTATTTTACCAACAGCTCCGCCCCTGGGGCGTCGCCAAAAACCTATGTGAATTGACTAAAGCGTCGGTCACTACCCGCCGCAGGTGCTTTTTGTCCGTACGATTTTTTCGGAGGCCACGTCTGCTACGTTTTGTCTGAAAACCGGCCAAGGGAGTACGTCACTCGCACGGTTGCGCAAGGTGTAAGTACGTGGTCTGCACGCCACGCCTGGCCGTGTATCGTTCGTTGCGCAAGTGGCAAGTTTTGGTTTGGACCGCATGCTTGCTTTCATGCTCCTACAGCTTCTCACTACAGCGCCACCTAGCAGTGGCGAGTAGAACCACATGCAGCAAGTTTGCCCGCAGCAAGTTTGAGATCCCCTGCACGTGTGACTTCTGACAGGTGACAAGCACCCCTGGGCGGGCTGTTCGGTCTCTCAGGGAGAGACACTCTCACAACAGACACGGCTGTTCCAAGTACAACTGTCTGTGTAACCTACACCCCGGACACACATGTGTTACAATCATCTGTCGTACTGCAACATCTGTTCATCTTCTGAACTTCGTACACTGTATATGTCAAATGTTTCCAATGCTCCTCATAGTCAGTATTTAAAGCATCTCTTTATTCCCAGGCATTATCAAAGCATCTCTTTAAAAAAAACTCCAACTCAAAGTATGAAAAAGTTTTCTGTCCTCTTTGACGCGCAGGTTGCACCTCCAACTGCGTTGCAATTGCTTACGTAATGCTGATCAACGTTTAGCGCTGACTCTGACAAAGAGAACGCGATCTCCAATTATTCTCTCAAAACCATAGAGCAAACATACTCCACCCTGACACACCACAATTTGCGAAATAATTTAATGTACAAAATGTAATAAATAAGCTATGTTGTTCAAATGAAACTATCATTATATTATATAGAATAATCGCCCCCCCCCCCACTCCACCATTATAACATACGAGTACACTTTTCGCATAAAGAGAGGGCACACAAAGAAATTCGCTAACTCTGCTGTAACTGATATACTCGTGCTTGCCCAACTTCCACGGGCGTCGCACACACAATTCAACATACGAAAACTCGTAGCAGCTGGCTTTCAATAAATAGAAGGAAACTGGGGCAAATCACGACCAGGGGGCGTAACTTTGTGTAAAATCGTGTCAAGAACTCGGGTAGCTAGAATGAGAAACAGACCGTAAATAGATTGTTTGTAACGTTACACAATGTTTTATGGGGTTACCTCGGTCAATTGAAAAAGGTAAGGCACACACCAGATGATTGAACAAATGACGTTTCCTGCCCTATGGCAGTTTAGGAGTAATTTACGACAGTTATATTGGTGTCAGTCATTGATTAAATCAATGACTGCATCCAGTGCAGTTTTTAGGGCTTGCAAACCTGATTTTTCAAAGCCAATATTCTAGCCATTTATCTACATACTGAGTTGAAACCACACCATCCCAATGTATATTGAAGCTCGTGGACCAAAATAATTCCTCAAATTCTGACGGAAAACGGTTATTGGAAGGGCCCTGGGCTGATTTTTAGGTTACCACCCAGAAAATAAAGGACTCATCTTAGGGCTTGTTTCGGCAGTTCTAAATGCCGAAAGTCTGAAATGCTGACTCAAATGTGCAAACGTGAAGCAGTATGTGTCAATATCACAAAGATTGCCTTATTCAGAATTTTCCCAGTTTTGCTTTTTTTTCTGCCCTGAAATCGCATTTGATTGGATGCCTTTAACTAATTCAATAATATTGCGCTATTGGCCATTGGCTATCACATAAGGAAAACACTAATGCATTGTGTTCATGACTACGTAGTCACATCTGTGACTTAGACCTCACTAGACACATAACGCCACCTGCACAAGTGCCCAATCACAAACTGATTGCAAGGTGTCAGAATCGAATGAGATCAAGCTACTGTTTGTAATTGTGAGAGGACCGGTGCCTGAGGGTTTTAAATGCCGGGACATTTCGCCGAGGAAACGGGCGTATAACTGTTTTACTCACTCATGATCGTTTAACATCAACCGAAATAGCCTGGTTACCAAACTATTTTAGCTCCCGAGTCGTACATTCTGTTACACCTAACATTTGAACATCGACCTGACTCTAAATATTGGTTAAAGCTATCTAATGACAATCGACAATGCCCCTATATGACAGCGAGTTCCACTCTGCGATAGTTCTAGGAAAGCGTTTTTGAACACCTCAATCCTTGGTTGATAACTCTGGTGCTTGAAGGCATGACTACTTCTTGTTCGTGCTGGACTAGTATTTTACTGTGAGTAGTTGGTACGTCCACCAGTTTATTAGTCATTTTGTACATCATGCACAGTCTGGACATTCTTCGTCTGTCTTCCAGTGACGCCCACTTTTCATCTCTGTGAAACTAGCACCTCTTTCATAGTTGTTCATACAGAATCTTGCTGTTTGATTTTGTAGCCTTTCCAGTTTATCTCATGCTCGTCCTCTCTGTACATATGTAGTCTCCACCAGACTCTTTTCCAGGCAGAATAAATACTAGAAATCGGACTAAAAAGAATCTAGGTGGCCAGGGGAGTCGGTCGGCCATAAGGTCCAGTTTGCCTGCATAGATTTCTATTATTTATTCTGCCTGCAAAGGAGTCTGGTGGAGACTAGGGTCATCCTACACTCTCACGACTCCGGCCAGACGACGGCTGACCACACGCCCTCTACAGCCGGAGGTAAACAGTGATTTGACCAGGTCAACTCGTCTGGTTCAGATTTACCCGCCGTCTCAGATCAAACCCCCCACCCCAGGGCGCGAGATAATCGCTAATCAGCAAATCAAAGCAAACCCAGGAGCTCAGTTTCCCTTCCTGAGCTTACTGAAACAAATCGCGCTTCGGGTAACTGCATTTGTCGGTTTTCATTTACAAGTACGAGCCACATATGTTACAGCTGCGAAGTGAGTGGTAGCATATTCAAGAATAGTAGAAAGAAAAAAGACCTTGAAAGCTATAGTTTTTTTTTAATCAAACTCGTTTTAAGAACCTTTCATATGGTTGGAAAGGTTTTGTATTATGATGATTGAAATTGTTTAATTTACAATGAAATAACGTAAGTCAAATGTGACAATGGTTTATAATTGTCTGATAAAGATTTCTACACATAAGACCTGTTTGTAAGAAACAGTTTTCATTTCGCCAAGATGTTTCAGATCTTTGTGCAAATGATTTATACTTATTTGGAGATACACAGTCTTTGTACAAAACCCTTTTAGTCTACGTCTGTGTTGACTAGTAAGTGACGCTAGTCTGCGTCACTTACTAGCGCTATGGAAAGTTTGGGTTCTGAAAAATAAACGTACAATTTCCTAACTAACATATTATACTATAGTCTAGTGCCCCGCCTTCTATCTCAAATATAGTCGACCACAGAACATCAAGCCCGTAGCCCTGTAAAGGTCTCAAGTTTTTTTTTTCAGATTCCGTTTTATATATTCAAAGGATATGAAATAGATACTGTCTTATCTTAGTTACGAAGGAGAAAATGTTTGGACACTTACAAGCTCCTGAGAACAGCTGACGATTGGGAAGTCCTCTGTAGACCGTTAGCGATGCCTCTAGCTCTGCACTAGTCTTCTCAACTACCTTTCTACCTGCAGGGACAAACCATTGTTACCAGAGGGGTGGTGCAGTGAAACACTACCTTTTAGCCGTGCGGGCACACACGTACGTTCCTCCTCGAATATCATTTGCTGTTAGGCGATATGAAAGACATGTCTATCAAAGCCACAGCAAGTAAATTTTATGGATGACATCCTCCGCAGACTCCAAATCTAATGCGATAGGGCGAATCAGAGCCTTGTCTTGTCTCCTCTCTTCATATTTATCTGCCATCCATGTTCCGGCATGGCAACAGACATCTTTGCCCATTTTCGGCAATTTTCTTGGCAAAGAAATCAGGCAAAAATTAATGCTCGCGCTGATGTCATCCCTAAGAATTACTTACTGTGGCCCAAACTTCAAAGTTACACGTCTAGGTGGCACGCAAGATTTTGAGACGTGGTTCGTCCCTCAATACTGGAACCTGAGTCCTGGTTTGAAACTAGTTGCGCCGTTTTGCTGAAAGCGTTGGTTTGGTGATAGTTAGGTCCGATATTTGTCAACGCCAAAAGTCTGACGTTCGCAGCAAACCGCAAAGCGCCTGTATATCTAAGAGGTCATGAATGACGCCTAGAAAAACTTCAAAAAGGGACCGAAGACACCAGAGAAAGAGAGAGAGATAGAGATAGATAGAGAGACAGAGATAGAGAGATAGAGAGAGAGTTTAGTTATGTTTTTCGAAAGAAAACCTATTGTTTTTGCTCTGTTTCCTCTTCTTCCTCTCCAAACTAATAAGGTCAATGACCTGAACCAGACGTCTGTCACCATGGTAACTGGTGTTAGGTTACATCATGCAATTTTGTAGCAGGAGGGATTTAGACCATATATATGAATGTGTTTGAGTAATAATTAACAGAGCAGACCATATGCGAAGGTAAACATTATGCATTTCTTGTTTAATTTATTTGTTTATTTTACAGGACAGACTTATCGCCTTCTTTTCATTCTTCTCCTTTGTAAGACAGGATAAAATGTTTGTTAGTTAAAACTTGAATTTGCGTTTGCTGATTACAGCAATCAATGTATTCAGACGATAACTTCCTCTTATCAACTAAGATAACTCAACAAAGTGACTGAATTCCTATTCTAGACGGAAGCCTTCCTCCACTACCACATCACTCTAAGTAATTTTGATGCCAAATATATTATAAGTCAGTACAAAAAACTACAAATTCTTCATC